TTGTTGTCTTTGCTGTTGTTTTTGTTGTTGTTTTTGTAGCTGTTTTTGTACTATTTTGCATCATTAGTGTGAAAGCAATTTAATTTGCTTGTGAACTTCGCTGTGCCGAAAGTCATTAAATTTGTTTATTTTGTTTATTTATTTATTTTTTGCTTGCGCTGCGACATTGCATATCCTGCATATCCTTGCCAAGTTATTCTGCAATTTGCGGTGCTGAACGTATGTTGTTTATTTGTAAATAAATGTCGAGTAAGTATTTCAACTTCTGTGACGTTATGTGAGGGGAATTATGAAATTCATTTGATTTTTGGGTTATTAAAACCATTGACTGTGGTTTGAAATTTGGCAAAATTCCATATCGTTTATTTGACAAATAACTTTAGACCGAATTTTAATTGATTGAAACCAATAAAAACTCTGGTTTATGGAAACTCTGATTAAAGAAAATGATTGACAATAATTGAACACAACGTTTACTTAATATGGTTTTAGAAATTAAACTTTGTTATACACATACTCAGATTATAGTATCATAATTTATATATGAAATAGTAGAATAAATAAAATAAAAAATAAAATAATTTTATTTTCTTTTTTGCAGATGCTTCACCTGGTTGTAAAGCACCGAACATGCGGGTCACTGTTATTAAACCAGAATCGGGGACTGAGCGGCCTTATGCAAAATTTGAAACCACACCAGCCAATTTACCAGAAGACTTCACCACAGTGGATGTTGAATATGTTGAAAAAATAAATATTGACCTGACTTCCAACTCAGCGGCTAATGATAACAAAATGGCTGTAGTAAATCCATATAAAATTGATGTGGAGGGAGAAGAGCATACGACAGCTTTAATTTCTGAAGATACAGCCGCAATAGATGATGAAGAAGAGGATGATGTCACTGAAACGGAAGATACGGCACACAAACGTCTAAATCATAATCGAAAATATAATAAAAAACGACGCTCAGGTTCTAGTCGTCGACGTCGCATTGAAAATGAGAATGGTCAAAGCCGCGGTCGTGGCAGCCGTTATAAGCGACAAGTCATACATCATGACCCAGATGCTTCTCCCGAGACAGACAAATGGAGTGGCAGTAAGTTGGCAGCTGAAGGCGATGTCTACTATGTACACATTGAAGACATACTAAAATCCCAATCACCAAATGCAGAGTTGCGGTTAAAATTGCATAAATTAAAAAAGAAATCAAAGCAAACAAAATGCAGTGCGAATGAGAATAAAGAACAATGCAAGAAAGCGGCAGCGAAAAAGAAGAAGAAAAAGGTTAATGCAACTGATGTTGAGGGAAAACTCGCAACAAACAACAAGAAAACGCCAAAGACTATAAAACAAGAAAAACAAGAACAACAACATCATCGTAGACGTGGCGATAGTCATGAAGATAAACAGGAACGTGTACATGAACATCAGTTACAAAAACGCGATGTTAATCCAAGATGGCATAATACTGTTAGTTTCGACAATGACACACAGCAACCGCAACCCATTGATAATGGCTTTGAGGATGATGTAGATGAAATTACTGCCGATGCTGATGCCGATACCGCTGCCTCTGCCTCTGTCTCAGCCACAGATGTCGCTGATAATGCACTAAACGCTGAGATATTAAGTGCTGATAAAATTTACATCAACATGACGAGCGATGGCCTCCAACGCGTCAAACGCAAATCGGGTAAAACCACAGGCGCATTAAGTCGTCCGAAGGGTGGCGGTGATTCCAGTTCAAAGACCACTAGCCGTAAGGATAAGGGTAAGTAAAATATGTAAAAATATGAAAAAAATGTATGAAAGTATATAGCGTTTTTAAGTTTCCCTTACGTTTTGATGGACATAAATTTTATTACGTTTTCTCTATCACTCAGAACTTTAATGGTTGGCTTAGGTGCCGAAGGCTTAGAAATACATAAAAAGTGACTTAGCTCTTATACTTGCCATTATATCGAAACAGTAATTTTTTTCATCTTCTTTTGTACATCTTACCTTTTATGGAAAACCCATTCTCCTTCTCCAGCCGGCTTTTTATCTTAATTTTAGTTATATTTTCATGGCGTTTGTTTGTTTTTTGATTAAGTGAAATTGCCTTCTTTGTGCTACTGACATTGCATAGCCGGTAGGTTGTTGTTTCATTGATGCTTGGTGAAGGGTTAATGTGTCCGCATAATATTATCCTATCCTGTCCAACACTCTTTAAACTTTCAAGTCAAATATGTTTGTTTCGACGAACTGAAGCTGAGTATCTCATGAATGTAAAATAATATCATCAGCATCAGGCATCTTCTTTGCTTACCTTCCCTTTTTACTTGCCACGTAGTTTATTTTCTTTTCTTTTCTCTTCACTTTTTTTTGATTCCTTTGTTTTGTTTTCTTCAATTTCCTTTCAGACTCAAGTGTTATTGAAGTTTTTCATTCGTTTTGACTTTTTTCCTGTACTCGCACACATAGGCTGGCTGAGGGTTAATGTGGCTTTTATCATTTTATGGGGTTAATTTAAAGTGTTTTTGTTTGCTTTATGAGGTGCCTTTGCTACTTTAACTAATTCTCAAGTGTTGAGATATTTTTATGTACTTCGGGGAACCCTTTTGTGGATTTTATTTATGGAATTTCAACGCTTGTTAAAATTTATATTTTTGTTAAAACATTCTTAAGTAGGGTTAACCATTTCACTTTAGATTTTATGGATTAGCAATGTAAGTTTGCTATTTTGCATTACAAAAAACTCAAATAGATGAAACTAAAAAAAATTTTATGAGTGAATATTATAGTTGTTTTGTAGATTTTTATATGATTTACCACTTCAGCACTCATAAATGCAAGTTTTAATATAAAATAAAGACATCATGCATACACTTAAACCAACTTCACAAGTGCTTTCCTTTAATCAGAGGGCTACATAAAATGAATTTATTATGATTATAAATATTTGAAAGGCGCATAACATTTCAACAGTGTGATCCTGTGAAGTAGCGTAACATATAGCAACAAGCCAGACTTTTTTAGTCCTTGTCATAAAAAAGAAATTGTAAAATTTTTTTTTTAAATTTATCTTATAATAAATCTTTCGGTTGCACATATAAAATAAATGTATAAAATAAATGTATAAAATAAATATATTAAATTTATTAAATAATAATAATAAGCAAAAAATACTTAGAAGTTAAATAAAAAAGTTGTCTCCATGGAAATATTCATTTGAGACGGGCACTTCTTATTTCACACGAAATACTTGAGATATACTCGTGAATGTTTTACTTACTACTTCAAACAAGAATTCATTGAATTGTTAATGATAGTTAAACGGGTTCGAATAGAAGTGAAAAAACAACAACAAAAATTTTTGCTAATTTATTGAAGTTTGACTGACCATACAACGCTGTTTCGAATATACTCAACATCAGTTATCTTAGGGAATATTCGACTAATATTAATTAAATAATATTAACTAATATTAATTATTTTGTAGTCCCTATATAATTTGTTTGGACTGCCAAGTTTACCACCCGTGCTTGTTAAATTAGAAGCGACGTCTAAATGTGTCTTTCCACAAGTAGCTAAGACAGAGCAAACAATTAATGCTCAACTTCCAAGTTTTTTGTCACTTTTTTATTTTTTAAGTGATACTAACCAAAGCACTTGTTTTTAATTAGAACGAGCTTATAAACTGCAGCTTTATTTGAATCACAAGATCAACGTATTGAAAGTTCATTCTTTAACTTTAATTATTTTTATAGGCAACTAAGGTTAATTTATCAAATACATTAACAGATCTTGTAAATTGTTCACATTTTTTCCTATTGAAAATGGTTTTTATATAATGCCCTATATTATTCCTTTATAATCCAAAACATAGCTGTTTAATTTTAACCTACACATAAATGCATTAAAATTCTGTTAAACTTAACAATTTTCAATCATATTGATTTTATTTATATATCCTAAATATCTAGAGCATGTAACAACAAGTATTCCGTACTGTTCGATACATAAAATAGCTTAATAGGAATTAATTCTGGATAACCAAAGCCCGCTTTCTGCTGCAAAAAGCATAATTTTCGCTTTTAGTTGAAAATGGTAAATGCATCGAATTTAGTTAAGTGCAGTGCAAACTATTGAACTGTAACCGACTCAAAATTCAATTACTTGTTTGAAGGACTGGACGGCATCACAAGAAATATCCGATGAATTTATAGTGGTGTACTCTATATAAACACCAAAAGCAGCTCAAATACAATTACTGAGTGAATAAAGCGCTCACGTTTCTGCCGACAACATTATGCATACTTCACATCGTTTGACCTGGGAGTAAATTGCTAAATAACAAGATGCATGAGGTGAAGTTGGGTTGAGTTTCTGATTGAAATGCATCAAATTCAGTATCTTACAGTTGTAAAGTTATGGAATAGTAAAACATTACAGAGGTTGTTAGTATATTATATCTTGCCCATAAAAAGCCGTCACTTTTTACTTGAACCTTTATAAATTTATCAAAGATCTGGCATACTTTCTAATCAGAGTAAACTGATCACTTTATAAGACATACATACTTCTGTTAACTATTATATTACTTTACCATAGGGAACATCTACCCAACAAATATGCTTGTGTCTAGTTTAAAAAAGGCTACAATTCAATCCATGCAACCTTATCGAACCGTTAGTTTGTTAGAGAAGAAGAATATTTTAACTCTACGAAATATACACATGTCATATACACATGAACTCACACATACATATATTTGTTGTAAAACCACGTGTCAAAATCGAAAAGTGTAAACATGAACTCACACATACATATATTTGTTGTAAAACCACGTGTCAAAATCGAAAAGTGTAAACCCACCCAAGTAGCCCATTAAGGTCAGCGAATAAAAGGTTTAGCCAGCTTAAACTATGTTAATACAAAATCTGATCAAATGAATTTTATAAAACTTATTAGTTAATCGTGGCTAAATAAAATTCTAAATCTAGAACTCTTATTAATAAAGTAATTTTGAAAATAATTTGGGTATTCACAAAGGTCTGCTTATAACTAATGTGACATAATGGTAAAGTGCTAAAAATTGCAGTGATAACACATAATTTTAGTTGATATAAAATATTTTTTATTGTTTAGAAATATGTATATCAAGTACTTATATTTGGTTTTCATTTAACCAAATAAGGTTATTTATTTAATTGGCCATTAAAGACGTGAATCGTCCTTGGTCGCGTTGAGTAGTCCTCCGCCAGCCAGCTCGATCAGTAACTTGGTATCACCATTTGGGTCAGTACCAAGCGTACTCAAATTGTTGGCCATCTGGTCCTTCCATCGTTTATTTGATTTTCCAACTGCATGCACCAAATCAAACACCTTTCTAGCCAGAGCAGTTTCTTCCATTCACTCGACATAACCCAGCAAGCTAAATTTTTATATGCTTAACTATATCAATGTCGCGAAATGGCTCATATAGCTCATCGTGCCATTCAATTCGATACTCGTTGCCAACCAAATAAGGTCAAGTGCTTTCATTATCCTCTGCAAATTAAATACGAAATGGAAATAGTTACATTTGCGATTGGGTCACTTCATAGCCATTTGTAGGGAATGTAACTTAACAGATAAAGGGAAGAGCAATATATTTACTTTCAAGTTCTGGGAATATAATTTAATTATAGTACTAAAATAACATCATTGCTGTTATTTCTTGAAAGTAATTTAAATACTTTATTGTTTTATGTAAATAAGCCATACAGGAATATCATATCATACAACACACATTATGTTTGCTTCATTTGTTTGTAAATATTTATGCATTATACATAATATCACATATGGTGGCACTAATAACAATTTAGAACTCACATATAAACATTTTAATTATTATTTGCAGGCATTTTCGATGAAGAAGGTGGCTATGCGCCTGTTCATCCGGACGATACTGATTCAGGAGAAGAAGAGGAGGAAGATGAGGAGGTCGACATAGAGCAGCAATTTACTGAAGTTTCTGAAATTCGTTTCCCTGGTGAGATTGGACCACTTGGTGATCGACGTCTGTGCAAAATACGTTGTATTAAAGGCAAATGGGTCGGACCGTTGTGCGCAACCAATGAGGAGGGTAAGTGGTACAGTGTACGTTAAAACTCAACTACAAAACACAACAGCACAATGCATACAAAAAAAAAAGCAATAAATAATAAAAACTAACAAAGAGCAAAACAGTTTTCATAGTAAAAAATAATAATGCATATTAAAAGAGCAACAAAACATTTAGCAGCTCAAAAACACAGCGTAGTTTATTTAATTGTTTATATCACATAACATACATACATTGCACTAAAAAAATATTGATTATACAAATTTTCAAAAATATTAACACATTATTGCATTCAAATATTGTTCTCCCAACTTTGAAGTAGTTAACTTACAATAAACATGAAAAAAACATTAAAGCACAGCATTTTTATTTACTCAACTATTAAACAATATACTATATAGAATAATTTTGTTTAAATAACATGAAAACCAATAACAACACTCCATACTGCACACATTCCAGAGAAGTAGTGAATTAATTCGAAAGTATTTTATTTAAAAGTAGATTATTTTATTTAAATTATTTTAAAAGCAAACCAATTTGATAATAGTTATGTATGAATAATTTCAATAAATTTAAACATAACTTAATATTAACTTATAATCGTATTTTGAAAACGTCCACTCAAGTGTATCTAAATGCAATCTTAAGTGTAAGATTAGTATATCTTAAGTGTAAGATTAAAATCTTAAGTGTAAGATTAATAACTTAAGTGTAAGGTTAATTAATTAAGTGTTATTAATCATCAAATCAAGTTGAATTTGTTTTTTTTTACTTTTGATTCAAATTTCTCAAAGTCTGAAACAGTTGATGCTTCTGGCTGGAGTGTCATATTAGATTTGTACCTATCGAGCATACTAATTGATCTTCCTATTAGGTCCGCCATATGATAATTTGAATCAATGAATTATCAATTGTTGTTTTTCGTAAATCTACGTTTCCTATAGAAACGTCTTAATTTTCTGCTCTTTTACTCCCTAAATCAAGTACCCTACTTATTAACTAGTGGGTTTAAGTAAGTTCAATTCACAAAGAAATTAATTAAGTTGTAATTGAATGTTAATCAATAGTACCTTGTTGAAATATCTACACTTATGAAAACAAATTCTATTCTTCGAAAACTTAATATATATGTATATTTATATATAAATATATGTACGAATTCTCCTTATTAAAGAATGTAGGACCTATGTATAACTTTAAGGTAAAGAAATGTGTAAAAATTGACCTATGTAGAACCTATGTATTACTTTAAGGTAAAGAATTGTATAATAATTGACCTATGTAGAACCTTTGTATAACTTTAAAGTAAAGAAATGTATAGTAATTGACACACAACAAAAAGAGAAAAATCAAATCATTAAAAAGGAAGTATCTCGAGGCGTATGAACAATACTATAGAAATGCAAATGTCTTGACCTCTACTAAAAAGTTTTTTTAATAAAAAAAAATTCCACAAAACCCCATTCGTATTTACAAAATACCTTAAGTTATTATATGGCAAATTTCTTTAAATGAATTTTTTTTTTGTTTATTACAATCAAAGTACGCCACTAATAAAGAAAATTTTAATCCAATCCTTAGTCTTACAGATAGTTAAAAATGAAATTATGCTACTTTAGAGAGTTTTCTATTTTTAAAATATCAAAATATCAATACTTTGTGTTAATTTAGAAAACTTTTATTTTGTAAATTTTTAATATATATAGGTAAATTAATATAAAAATTTACCTAAATGGAACTTGTATAATTATTTGATGAACTTCTGAAAATACACATCAGTTCACATATTTTTCTCCCTACCCGTAAACGGTAGAATATGGTCAATGATATTAACTACAACTAGTTATTTTTATAAAAAAGATAAGGCCTACAAAACTAATATAAGTTAAATATATGGTTCTATCTAAAATGAAGATAACGTAAAAGAGTACTGACTATATCTGTAAAGGGTTAGGCTGCTTCAACATAAAAAACAAAATTTTTAAAAAAATTTGTCCTAAATACGGTATGATTTTGAAGAGAAGAAAGAAAGAAATGATACTCTTTTTCACAGTTAGATGCAATATTGTCTCTTTCATGATTAGATGTAATATTACTTTTTTTATTGTACTATGCAATATTATCTTCTTGAAGGTTAGACAGAACATTATCTGCTAAAAAGTTAGAAGAAATTTTGATGGTTCACCAATAATTTAAAGTCTGATTCAAATTCATTAGCATTGAAAGTCACAGTGTAATTAGGAGACAGAGTGCTAAAGATGAATGAAGGTGAGAGATAAAGATAAAGAGATAAAGAAGCTTAGTAGTTAGTATTAGTTAGTATATTTAGTACTTTATAATATGCATTTAAAATTCTCTATATACCATCGAACTTATGTATGATTTGCTGAACGTAAGAGGAAAGCGGCAAGTATTTGTTAAGCAAACTATGTTGCATTCACTTATTGCAATTGTGAGACTGTTATAAACAAATATTCTTAATCTTTTTCCCGATAATTTCACAAGAATTATTAATAAACGTCTCTTAGCTTGTTGCACAAACTGGATTAAGTACTGTTCAAAATAGTCGATTTATAAAGAAATATATGTTAAATACAAAAAAGGCATTTTATTCGAAATAGTTCGCACTTCGCTTTTACTGGATTTGATTTCGCTGCTTAGGAGATCAATCACCATTCTTTCATAAAGAGAGTTACAGTTCTTGGCTTTTATAGGAGCCATCAGTTCTGTTAAGTACGTATTCTTTGATCCGTAAGAGTTGTTTAAGTTTACATAAAAGTATTTATATATAGTTGCTTAGTAGCATCGACTAGCTTTTTTTAATAGTAAGCTGTAATTTAATAAATAGTTTTCTTACAAAGACTTGTTCCATCTGTATATTTTATATGATTTTTAATGTTAGAAACCTTAAAAACTCAAGTCTGTACTTCTTTAATATATCATTATTTAATTTATATAGCTATGAGGTAATCCATAAATTTATTTTTTAATGGTAGAAATTTAGTAAGTCACATTTTGTAATACACATACTTTTTAATAAACTACACTTCTCACCACAACTGAACCACTTCAACATCAAAGCACATTACAGTTCATCCTTTAATTAAAAAGTTGTAGCAATTGAAGTATTTTACTAAAATATTTTTAGATGATTATGGAAATGTGAACTTTCAGCCCTTATACAAAAGTTGCAACGTTAACCGAATACCACCTTACTTACTCTTAAGCTATCGCAATATATCAGTGGTAAGTTCAACTCTGAATATATAAAAATGTAAAGTAAAGCCAATACCAAAAATGGTAGTAAAATGGATATCAGAAACTAAGAAACAGAAAAAATGTTTATTGAATTATTTTAAAAATATATATATTTCTTTATATAAAAATTAATCAAAATATATATACACAAATTATTTATTCACACATAAAAACCAAACATAAACAGAAACTGAAACATTTAACCATTTAAGTTAAAGTCAATCTCCGATATACTCATACGTAAATGAAGCGGCAGGAATTCGCACTAAAAATTATTTTTCACATTTTCCAAGCCACAAAACAATTACTCAAATTAAATATATCAAAAATAATAATAAATGAATGTAATTTTTTCTTTACTACCACAGAATTATTTTAACTTTATATCATATCAAGAGCATATTTAAGCAAACTTACAAAATGCAGTCATTAATATAAAAAACAAAAGCAACAAAAAAAAATTAAAAAAAAAATCATAAAATAAAATGCATGAAAAAAT